AGGCTGGAGGGGCGGGGGGTCGGCGAGTCGGGGTCGGGGGTCCAGGCTGGCGGGGCGGGGGACCGGGTCCGGGGTCCAGGACGGCTGAAGGGGGGGCAGGGTCCAGGCTGGGGCAGGGAGGGCACAGTCCGGGACGGCTGCGGGGGTGGCGCGGCGTCCGGGACCTCTGAGCGGAGCTGGACCGTTGGGGACCCCGGGTGGGCGTCTCCGGGCGGAGCGGGGCTGCCGCGCCCGGGCGGCTGGGGGCGCGGAGGGCTGGAAACCTCGGATCACGCGCCCCTGGGCGCCGCCCCGCCCCCGCGCCCTGGCCCAGCGCGGTGGCGTCACAGTCGCCCGGTCCAGACTGCGGCCTCCGGGCCTCTGTTCCCGGGCGCGGCGCTAGGGGGCCAGGCTGGGCGGCAGACGGGCGGGTATGGGCTGCGCGGGCGCAGGCTCCCCCGAGCGCAGCCGGCGGCGGTACCAGAGCCGGGGTAGGCGGCGGCCGCGGGCCCCTCGGCGGCGGAAGGCCCCAGCGTGCAGGCGCAGGAAGGTGCGCCGCCGGCGGAAGGAGCCCTGTCCCCACCACTTGGGGCCGGAGATGAGCGAGTGTCCCGAGTCCCAGGACCTGGTGCGCGCGGGGCCCCCACACCTGCTGCTGTGGCACTTTCTGGGGTTGGAACCCTCTCCCAGCCTCAGGGTCTCCGGTAAAACGGGATCATAGGTACTAGGGGGCGTGTCCACTTAAGGAGGAGGAGCTTTGAGGTTTTCAGTGCCCCAGGGCCCGAGTTTCCGGCCACTGACCGGCTCCGGCTCCGTTCTTGCCCCGGAACCCTGGGCTGGCGAGCGGGCCGTGGCCTTGGCTTCCCGTCCGCGCTCCTTGTTCAGCCCCCTTGTTTTGCAGTGCGCGTCCCGGGACGACTGGCGCTGTGCGCGCTCCATGCACGAGTTTTCCGCCAAGGACATCGACGGGCACATGGTTAACCTGGACAAGTACCGGTGGGCGCTCGCCCGGGGCGGGACGCAGGGCGGGGGCCTGGGAGGGGGCCGAGCTCTTCAGTGGTGACCCCCACCGACTCTCGCAGGGGCTTCGTGTGCATCGTCACCAACGTGGCCTCCCAGTGAGGCAAAACCGAAGTGAACTACACTCAGCTTGTCGACCTGCACGCCCGATACGCTGAGTGTGGTTTGCGGATCCTGGCCTTTCCCTGCAACCAGTTCGGGAAGCAGGTGGGCGGCTGCCTGGGTCCCCAGGCCCTGGCTCCGCAGAGGCCCGGTGGGTGGGAGTGGGAGTGGGGTTGGGAGAGGGCCTGGGAGTGTGGGAGCCTGGACTGAGGGGGTGCCAGGCCCCCGACTCACTCGCACTCCTCCCCTGCCACAGGAGCCAGGCAGTAACGAGGAAATCAAAGAGTTTGCCGCTGGCTATAACGTCAAATTCGACATGTTCAGCAAGATCTGCGTGAATGGGGATGACGCCCACCCGCTGTGGAAGTGGATGAAGATCCAGCCCAAGGGCAAGGGCATCCTGGGAAAGTGCGTGACCTCTAGGGATGGCATGGCTGGCTAGGGGGGTGGCTGCTGGGACGCTCACACCTCCCAGGGGGCAGAATGGCTCAGGGCCATGGAGGACTGTGGAAGCCGCCAGGGAGGTTCACACGCTGTGGCCTCCTGAAGGCAAGATGGCTTGGGGGCTGCTGGGACGTTCACACTGTGTGGCCCCCTGGGGACAGGTTGGCTGGGGGTGTCCGTGGGGGGCTGCTGGGGATGCTCATGCCCATGTGTCATGCCCATGTGCTTCCTTTCCAGTGCCATCAAGTGGAACTTTACCAAGGTGAGGGGGCTATGGGGGGTTGGGGACCAGCTCCCCCTGGCCACAGCCCTGGCCCAAATAGGCAGTGGGTGGGAAGGGCAGCCCAAGCCCCTTGCTGAGGTCCGACGCTGTTTCTCGGCAGTTCCTCATTGACAAGAATGGCTGTGTGGTGAAGCGGTACGGACCCATGGAAGAACCCCAGGTAGGTCCTCTCTAGGGAGGCTGCCTGGGGCCGGGACTTGTGAGGCAGCTGCCCTGACCCAGTTCCTCCCCCACAGGTGATAGAGAAGGACCTGCCCCACTATTTCTAGCTCCACACGTGTGAGGCCCTGTCCAAGCCCCTGCCCTCGCCCTCGGAGCCTTCCGCCGGCACCCATGACGGCCTGCCTGCAAACCAGCTGATGGTGGGGCAGACCTGAAAACCCGGCGTGCACCTCGCCGGAGGAAGGTCCCATGGTCCGCTGGGCCCGGCTTGGCACCCCCACCCCTGGCTGCCTTGTGGGAATAAACAAGACAGATTGGCATGTTGGATCTTTCTGCCTGGGGATTTGGGGGGGCCTTTTTGCCAGGGGTCCCTCCAGGTCAGGGCCAGTTGGTGTCAGCTGCCAGGCTGGGGACATGATGGGGGTGGAGTGTTGTCACCCCTACTTCCCCGAGGCTTGGGGGCTGTGGTGGGGTGCAGTGAGCTATGGGCCCATTGGATACGGCCCCCCTCTTAATCCCTGCCACCCCACCTGCAGGGAGGCCCAGCAGGCTGTGCTTCCTGGTCCCCGGCCTTCACCTGTTAGGAGGCCCTCCTCTGGCCGGGAAGCAGAAGTGCAGAGGCCGGAGGAACAGCTGGTCTGGTGACAGATCGGTCGGGCACCACACCTGCCCTCAGGGCCTCAGCAGGCAGGGGGAGTGTGGGCGTTGCTGGGTGGTGTCCCTCGGTGAGGGCGGTTTGGGCATGGCCTGGCTGCCTACCTGCACACCTGGAGGGACTGAGCCTGCCAGGGTGGCTGATCTTGGCTGCCCGCACTGGGGGTCTGAATGCACTGTCCATGGCACCTGCCCCAGACACGGGGTTCAGGGGTCCATCTCTCCCAGCCCTGGTCCCCCATCACCCACATGAGGGCAGCCCAAAGGGGTGGGCAGGATGACCCTTGGTAACCAGGAGCGCCTAGGGGGATGCCAGTGCACCCCTGCCCTTCCCTCCTTGCCCTGCAGGTTGAGGATCAGACTCTGGGAAGTAGGCAAAAGGCATATATATTTAAAAAAGTCCTTTACATATGTACATGAGAACTTGATATAAATACATAGAAACCGCAGGCGCCATCCTGCCAGCGCCGCAGGCAGGGCCCAGGGCCTGGGAGAGGTGAGCGGGCAATAACTTAGGGGTCAGAGAGGGGCTGGGAGAGGGGGAATTGCATATATTAGCGGGGGTCTGCCCCACAGAGCCCCCGGGACACGGGGCCCTGAGCACCTGGGGTTTCCTGAGTTTCTAGCTCTTGGGACCACCCAGTTTCATGGATACCCGGGGTTTGGGCCCACTAAGCCCTTGTAGGTGGGTGCCCAGTCCCAGAGCAGCCACCCAGAGCCCCTTCCCACTTGGCAGGAGAGGCACAGAGGGCCCTGCCACGCCCCAGCCCCCAGCTGTCCTGAGTGGGCCCCGCCAGGGCTGACCAGGTGGGGGTCCAGAAGGCACTGTGGCCGGGGCCTGGGGCTCCTCTGAGCGGGGGGGCAGGAACCTCGGCCCTGCTCCCCTTGGCCCACTGCTCCTAGTGGAGAAATGGTCTGTGATTTGGCATGTTTCGCCTGCAAGTGGGTCAGAGAGGAGCCTGGGCGCTGGGGAAGGGTGGGCTGAACTGAATCACGCTCTGTCGCTCGGGGCCAACCGCTGCACCCCCTGCCCCCGCGCCCTCTCCCAGCGCCCCCTCTGAGGGCGGCCCCGCGTGCAGGGAACGCAGCATGTCCTCCAGCACCTCCTTGAAGTTGATGTCGCAGCCCTGGTGCGCGAGGGCCGCGGGGTCGGCCTGGAGGTCGGGGGCGCCCAGTGGCAGCGCACCGGGGCTGGCGTCCAGGGTCAGCGGCGCCGGGAAGAAGTGCGGGGGCGGCGGGAAGGCCTCGGCAGGGGGGCTGTAGGTGAGGTCCAGCACCTCGGGGGCGCCCAGGGCGCGCGCCTGCCTGCGCTTCACGTCCGCGTCTATCAGGCCCAGCTCCTGCAACACGCGGCGCACGCGGCCCTCGGGGATCTTGATGCCTGCGGGCGGGCAGCCGGAGAGGCGAGGTCAGGGCCACACCAGGCGCTCGGGCCTTCCCGGGGCGCCCGCCGCCCACTCACCCACTTGCTTCTTCCGGTCCTTGGTCTTCAGCCGCACGATCTGCAGGTAGCTGCCGCCGCTGCTGTCGCCCATGACGGCAGCAATGCGGCCCCACACGCGCAGGAGCGCGCCGCACAGCATGTAGTGGTGCCGCAGCCGCAGGCCCTGCAGGCAGTCCTTCCCCTCCTGCACCAGCCGGCAGTGCCGGTTCCTGCGGACCGCATGGGACAGCTGGGCTCAGGCAGGTCCCAGAGGCCTCCTCTCAAGGTCCTGGGAGCCCCAGATGCCCCGCGGGGTGGCCGCCTTCTGTGATTTCCCCCTCGTCCCCTGCCCGCCCTCACCAGGTGCTGTGGCTGCAGTGCGTCAGCGAGAAGGCGTAGCCGCTCTCCCAGGGCTCCTTGGCCTCCTCCGCGGTGACCTGTGGACACAGGGCTGCGTGAGCCTCGGTGGGCCAGGGCCCGCAGCCCGAGGGGAAGGGGGCTGGGCCCCGCGGCTGCCTACCCGGTGGAACTTGCGGCGGAGGCTCTCCAGGGCCTCCAGCTGGCTCTGCCGGCCAATGTTGGGCTTGTACACGGTGAAGAGCTGGTCGCGGTTCTGCTCGGCCAGCAGGCAGCTGGGCTTGTCTCCACGGACCTGCGCAGGGGGGCGGTGAGGCCGCGCCCTTGTCCACGCCCCCGCCCCCGTGGCCCTTCTGTGGGGGGTAACCCTGCCCACCCCCACCTTGTAGGAGAGATAGAAGCCGTCATAGGGGCCCGTCAGCTCCAGCGACTTGGCAAAGGCGTCCTCCCACTTCAGGCCGCGGTCCACGCTGATCTGCCACAGCATGGGGGCGGGAGTGTCAGCGTAGCGGGGGCGGGGTGGGCAATGTGTGGGGGGCTGGGAGTCTTTCTGCTGACCTTATAGAGGACCACCTGCCCGTCCCGCGGGTGCCCGGGAGCCAGGAAGACCTGCTGGCTCTCCTCGTAGATCTCCTCGATGCCTGGAGCAAGGTCTAGGAGGGGCGGGTGGAGGGTGAGTCTCATCCAGTCCTGGGACTGCGGGCTGGAGCCTGGGTCACTCCCATAGCTGGGGCGCACACCAGAGACGACCCCCAGGCAGCACAGGGGAGGGTGCCCTGGAGCCTGGCCTGAGCCAGCCCGGTGTGAAGATGGTGCACGTGGCCCCCAGCCTGGCAGCCGCTCAGGTCCCAGATAACCCCAGGCAGCCTGTGGGGAGACCGTGGGAGCCTGGGGGCCACTCAGGTGCTAGATGACCCTGAGCGGGCTGTGGGGGACTGTGGGAGCCTGGTGGGCTGTGTCTGTCACTGCCACTGCACATGAACGAAGTGGCAATCCACTTCATGTTCCTCATCTGGACATAGGGAAGTGGTCCTGATGGACATGCCTGGTCCCGTGAGGCTGGGAGCACAGGCCTCCCCCAGCACGCCCTGGGAGGGTGGGCCCGAGTGCAGGGAGCGCAGAATTCACAAAGACGTAGCAAATGCCCCATGAGGCCTAAGGCATGAGCGCTTTCCACAGAGGTGGTGGGCCACCCAGCACCCTCTCACCCAGGATGCACGGCGATCCCACAAGCCCCATGCCCGCACCTACCCAGGCCCACACAGCACCCTTGCTCGCCCAGGATGCATGGCGCTCCCATGAGCCCTGAGCCCACCCAGAGCCTCCCCTTGCCCATCCAGGATGCATGGCGTTCCCACAAGCCCTGGGCCGGCGCCACCCCGGCCTCCCGGCACCGTTGCTCACCCAGGATTCCCATGTCGTATTTGCCCTCCCGCTTGTCCATCTCGATGAGGTGGTCGAAGGTGTCGGAAAAGTACTGGAACAGAGCATTCTGCTTGTGAACCTCCAGCCCCAGGATGCGGTTCAGGAACTTGGTGATGGAACAGTCTGGCGGGGGAGGGAGCCGAGCCTCAGGCCGAGCTGGGAGCTCAACCCCTCACCCCCATTGCTCCCCACCCGGGGCAAGATGGGGGTGCCTCTGTGCCCGAGTGTGGGGCACTCACCCTTCTCCATGTCCGGAGAGCCGTTCCGGGACTCCCGCCCGCCGATGCCCACCGACAGCAGGCCCTGTTTCATGTCTGTGGGGAGAGGGGCCTCAAATGCTGGTCTTCCCACCCCTGTCCCTCACACCAGGCCCCGAGTTCCTTTCCCAGTGACCATGGGCTCCCTGGGGGCCGGGGGAGCCAGCCACAGCTCGAGGCCACGGCAGGAACGGAGCCTTCTGCTTGACTTACAGGAGTGAGAACAGCACATTCTTGGGGAATAAACCCACACCCCAGACCCCTCACCTCCCGCAGGGACCCAGCCAGCAGGTGTGGGGGCCACCTCGGCTGCCTTTGCCGTCACAGCCGCTTCTGTGTGTGTGTGGAGAGGGGTCTCTCAACACACAACCCGCGTACAAAGCCTGCTACCCCAGCTGCTCGGAATCCAGGGCTCTGCAGCCCCTGCTCCTCCCAAGAAGACCCCGCGGGCCCAACTCACCCCGGAAGAAGGCAGAGACCCCTCCGGGGTATCCCTGGGGTACAGGCACTTTGTTCTCTGTCTGGCTCAGGATGGTGGTGAGGACACAGTGCAGGGCACGGATGCCATACTAGGGAGAGAGGGTGAGTGGGGAGGAGGCCCAGGGAGGAGGCTGGCCTCCCCAGAACCCCACTCTTCCCTGGGCCTCGGACCCTACCCTTCCCTAGACCACTGGACCCCAGCGCCCCCTTCCCCACAGTACCTTGTTCTCAAAGTTGTACTTGCTAAGGTCACGGGACTCCGTGGCGCGGCGGTCTCCGTGGGTCAGGGCCCCCTGCCAGGGGTGGGGAGGCCATCGGTTGGTCACCTGGGCTCTGGCCTCTGGCCCCCCAACAAAGCTTTGGAGAGCCTTCTCGGGCTGTCCCCGGTTCTCAGCCCCGCCCCACCCGCTCACCAGGCTCTCCAGGCGCTTGGCCACGATGGAGGCGAACCGGCGCTCTCCGGCCAGCTCCGAGATGAGGAAGACGTACTCCGGCGCCGAGACCTGGTTGGACCGGTGGGTGCGGCCTGGGGGCAGATGGGTTCTCAGGGCCTGGCCAGGCGGGGGCGGGGCCGGGACCACTTTGGGGGCGGGGCTGGACTCACCGAACTGCTGGATGGCGCGGTCGGCGCTCCAGGGAAGCTCCAGCGTCATGTGCACGCGGCGCCGCTGGTTCTGGACGCGGCGGTCCGCTTGGAGGGAGACGCCCGAGCTGGAGGCCTCCGAGATG